GCCCGTGCTGTAAGGTGGGGGTGGCCCGGCTGGCCAGCCAGCAGCAGGAGCGATGGCCCAGTCTCGGGCCAATGGCTCACACTACGCCCTGACGGCGATTGGGCTGGGGATGCTCGTCCTCGGCATCATCATGGCCGTCTGGAACCTCGTCCCTGGCTTCGGCCCCGCCAACAAACCCACCGCCCACGCCGGGAACAGCAGCAAGCCCGACCGCGGCACTGGAGGCATTTTGAAGAGCAAGACCTTCTCGGTGGCGTACGTGTTGGTGGGGGCGGGCGTGCTGCTGCTGCTGCTCTCCATCTGCTTGAATATCCGTGAGAAGAAGAGGCAAAGCGAGGATATCACTCGCGTGCAGCACCAGGTGTCTGCCGAGCCCTCACACCAGGAGGACAGGTGAACCTTTTTGGGGAGAAAGGCGCGGGGTCAAGCGTAGGAATGAAATGCGGAGCTTTTAATCTTCTACAAGGAGGGTAAGGCAGCGTGTGCTGAAGTGGAGGCCAGCACATCTCCCGGTTTAGGGTTCAGATATGTTAGGGAGATCAGGAAGGAGCGGCTCCAGCTGTATTGGTGGCACTGCGAGTGAAAGGCGACGTCTGTGTGTAAGGTAGGGTCTAGATGGAGCCGTGGCCAAGCCAGCGCTGCCAAGACGGGCCTGGCTTTGTCAGGCCGCAAGCAGCGCAGGCTGAGAGGTACCGCTGGCAGCGGTGGTTAACGGTTAACGCAGAAGAGTGGGACCACTGCCGCAAGGCAGGCAAGCTGGGCAAGGGGCTACAGAGGGAGAGGAGCAGGAGATGTAGGATGTGCAGTCTCCCTGGGTGCGGCCGGAGGTGCCAAGCAGCCATTGTGCTGCAGCAGCGCAAGCAGCGGCTGGAAACGGCGATTAGACCTGGTGAAAGTCTGCAGGGCTCTCGCGTTCGCTCGGGGAACTCCAGCTCGCAGAGCAAAGGCTGCAGGTGCGGTCTGAATAAACACCGGGCGCAGGAGACATCCCGGCCATCTCGGCGGCGCGGGGAATCGGCACAGTCCCATCTCTCCAATCTCTCCTCCCTGCCCCCTGCCCCCAGTGCAGCTGCAATGATGTGTTGCTGATAGTCTAAATTTTTTCCCCTCCAGTCAAGAAGAGGACGAAGACGTGTCTTCCCAGTACTACGTCCCCAGCTACGAGGAGGTGATGAACACAGGCTACTCTGAGCCCAGAGACTCGGACAGGAACAACAGGATCAGCGTCTCCTTGCCCTCGTACGAGTCGCTG